CTCCTGCAGCCTCGGGGGCCACGTGGGCACACGGGGAATTGTAATCGTCAATCCCTGCCCAAGGCCGAGCGCTTCCTTACATGTGACAGCCAGGGCAGGGGACGACCCGAGGAGATGCTCCTGGGTGGAGAAGGGCATATTCCAGGGGCAACAACAAGCCCTAGTGCGATTAACAGCTTTCCTGCCAACAAACAGCCCAGGATTTGCAGCGGTTGTAATGAGAGCTGCTATTATGTGATTATGTTTATGACCAATTTATGACCAATTATAGTGTCCTTGTCTTCTAAGCAGATTGCATTTAAAAGCATGAAATGCTCAGCGTGAACCACCTACCTGGCTCCGAAGATGTCTTTCTTGGCTAGATCGATACCAGAAACCACCTTTACCCTGAGGATCCGAGACTCCTCCTGTTAATAAAAAAGAAGACAGGTTTAAGGTTTATTCACTAATTGATCTTCAAGATGACCAGTTCACAAGCTCTAAACGGTGAAGGAGTACTCAGCTTTAGCGGAGCTCCCGAGGAATTCCCGAGGTTCCCTTTGGGAGGGGAAATCCCCCAGAGGGGCCTATCCAACCTGCTGGGAACAGCCCCAAGGCACCCGGGAAAAGCAACCGGTCCTACCCGCCAAAGCGGAGTAAACATCCGCAAATAAAACCAAGATAATAGGAATAAAACAACAGTAACAAAACAGAACAACAGCAGAATAACAGCAATAAAAGGCAATTTGCTGAACAAGGTCACTAGAAATGCCAAGCAATCCTCAGAAATCTAGTTCATTTAATGCATATTCCATAGAAATTTATTCTACTTAGACTATTAAGCGGTCTCTTCAAACCCAAGGTAAAATCTGCTGTGAGCAGCGCCGCTTCCCAGGGCCGATCCCGCCGGAGCGGGGCCGGGGCCGCAGCAGCCCCGGCGCGGGAGGGCCCCCAGTCCGCAGCGAGCCCCGCCGGGCTGCCGGTCCCCTCCAGGGGCCCGTTTGCTCGCAGCCCTCCAGCGGCGGCTCCGCTGCGCCACGTGGCTTGGGAAGGCAGAGAACAGCGTTCCTGACAAGAGGGCAGAGCTGCCCAGCACAGAGGGGAACAAAACCCTCTGTGTGGAGAAGAAAAGAGTCGACGGATGCTGAGAGGAATGGGATGGAGTTCTTCTGCTTGCGTTTTTTTGTTTATTATTGTTGGGTTAGGAAAAAAAAAAAAACTTCTTCCAACCTGGTGGTATTGATACTTTTCTTTGAGGCGTTATACCACATGCTCGATCCTTAAGAGCAATAAGTCAGCGACTTTTCCAGACAAAAGTCAACAAACTTTCAGATTAGGAGGGTCACGAAAATTCCTATACGAAGAGAGAACAGGATAGAAAAAATGCCAAAAATGCAGACAGTTCTGACCTTGCCAAAGGAGGCCTGAACTTTTAAACGAAGCGGAAGGCCACAATGAGAGGTTTTTAATGGCACCCCTGCTCTGAATGCCATTCAGGCGGTCCCACAAAGCCCAAAGCCCACGGGTACTTGTGATTCTGCTGGCGTGGCATCTCACCCCTGCATTGAAGTCACCTCTGGGCATCAACCGAGTCACAAACAGCATGGACAACATCCCAGGAGGAGGCCCAGCAAACCGGCGGGTCCCCCAGGCCCGCAGCGCGTCCCTGCGGCGCTGCAGGTCCCCGGGCCGGGCTGCGCCCCGAGCGCCGGAGCGCGCAGGGCACGGCCGGAGCGCGCAGGGCACGGCCGGAGCGCTCATCAGCCCTGCGGAAC